AGCTTCAACTTGAACTTGCATATGAGCAATTGATGGTCTGTTACACAGTCGGCTCCTCCTCTTGTTTTGGCTGAAGATAATTGAGCTTCTCCATCAACTCTTTCCACAGATGTAGTCTATCAGATTCCTACGTATTCCATCTGTTGAGGTCCACATTTATAGTCATCATTTATGTTACTGGAAAAAGGATTTACAATGAATAAGTCATTGGTCTTGCAAAATTCTATCATTCAGTCTCTACTGACATTTCTATCACCAAGGCCATATTTTCCAACTACTGGTGATTCTTCTTTGTTTCCAACTTTTGCATTCCAATCACCAATAATAATCAATACATCTTGATTGCATGTTTTGTCAATTTCAGACTGCAGACATTAGTGAAAATCTTCAATTTCCTCATCTTTGGCTTTGGTGGTTGGTGCATAAATTTGAATAATAGTAGTATTAACTGGTCTTCCTTGTAGGTGTGTGTATGTTGTCCTATCACTGACAGCATTGTAGTTCAGGATCAATCTTGAAACATTTTTTATGACATAAATGCCACACCATTCCTCTTCAATTTGTCATTCCCAGCATAGCAAATCATATGATTGTCTGATTCAAAATGGCCAAAACCAGTCTATTTCAGCTCATTAATGCCAAGGATATCCATCTTCATGTGTTCCATTTCATTTTTGACAACTTTCAATTTTCCTAGATTCATACTTTGTACTTTCCATGTTCTGATTTTAATGGCTGTTTGCAGCTGTTTCTTCTCATTTTAAGTCATGCCACATCAGCAAATGGAGGTCCTGAAAGCTTTATTTCATCCATGTCATTAAGGTCCACTCTAACACTTCCCCAGTCATATTTTGAGTGCCTTTCAACCTGAGGGGCTCATCTTCTGCCACTGTATTGGACAATGTTTCAGGGCTGTTGATAAAGTTTTCCAGTAATATATCAGACAGTGTTTCACGGCTATTCATAAGGTTTTCACTGGCCAATACTTGGAGAAGTGTTTGGCCCCTTTGTTCTTTCCAGTCTGTCTTAGTTTGGAAGCTCTGCTGAAACCTGTCCACCATGAGTGACCCTGTAGGTATTGAAATACCAGTGGGATAGCCTTCAGCCTCACAGCAACATGCAAGCCAGCACAGTATGACAAACTGGTAGACGAGTGGTGGATTTCAACTTTTAGCAATCCCATTGGGTTTCCAAGGCAGTAAATCTTTATAGAAGTAGATTGCCCCATCTTTCTTCCTCAAAGTGGCTGGTGAATTTGAACCTCCAACCTTCTAGTTAGCAGTCAAATGTTTTAGGCACTGCATCACCAGAACTTCTTAATAAGATATAAGTACACCATGAAATCAGTAGACCTAACATAACTTAATGATTTTTCTTAAGCTAATCTGATAAGGTTTCATATTCAACTGTTATGCCCGGAGTGATCATGTATCAGTTTTGTTGTGTTCACTCCTCCAATTAAGAGCCAGAGTCAGAAGATGACTGTGATAATTATGTTAATACAGATTGAATAGATATTCTTCTGATAGCTACTTGATGCCATTTATGCGTATGCAGGCTTCACTTTGCTTATACTTCCAATTGACAGGAAATTATTTATAGACAGGCTTCTGTAGATTCAAAGTTTCAATTGATGTCTCAAAAGTAACAGGGATGCAATTATCAACTTAAATTAATTGAAAAAACACAGTTTCAAATGTTTATTTTCTAATTATCAGGGTACTAACAAACTCAATTTATGACTTCTTGACCTTTATTATACAAATATGATCAAAAATAACACTTTTGATCTATTGAATGAAGGTGAATGACACTGAAATTCACTTCTGAAACTGTCATAAGACACGCTTGGTAATGGATGGGCACACTATGCTAGAACTTTTTAACATAATTTCATCATTCCCATGCATGATATGTTTGTGTACATTATTTATTATTATTTACATGGGTGCACTATTTGCAGAAAACAGGGTAGTTGCAATTTGCAAAATCTCCAGAAGCTGAGCCTGAAAATATTGTCTTTGGCATTCTATATAAAGAAATCCCCACACTGGCTTAGAGATTCATATAATAGTGCAGGTGTCAGAAAAGCACTATTGCCTAATAAGTTTAATCATCCCATCAAACATGTAAGATCAATTCTGTGTTTTCAGAGAGCCAGGAGAAAAGAGAGAGAGTGTGTGTGTGTGTGTGTGTGTGTGTGAGGGAAAGAGAGAGAGAAGATTTTCTGAAACTGAAAACACTTAAAAAGAAAGAGAAATATGATTTTGACCCCATGATCTGTGCACTGAAAAGTTTAACCAATAGGAAACTGGATAGAAGATGGTATGCTTAATTACAGGTTTCCCAAAAACAATTAAGAAAATCTAAGATACAACATGAGAGGTAACAGTGAAAGTATAGTCAAGGAGGCAGCATAGTCTCAATCTGCTTAGGTTCAAATCCCGATTCCACCACACGATGACCTTGAACAAGCTAATGTGACATCTCTAAACCTTAGCTTTTTAACCTATAAAATGGTATAAATAATCACACTGAATTTATAGGGTTGTTGTGTTAAATGAGATTATCTAGGCAAAGCCAACATCAAGTAATTCTGTACATAATCCATAAACATAACCGTTTTTAGTATTATTTAGGAGTTGCTGGTTGGTGCAAATAGTCAGTGTGCATGGCAGCTAACCAAAAGGCTGGCAACCGAGAGGCATCTCAGAAGAAAGTGTGTCCATTCCCTGGAGAAGGATGTCATGCTTGGTAGGGTGGAGAGTCAACAAAAGAGGGGGAGGCCTTCAACGAGATGGATTGACACGGTGGCTGCAATGATGGGCTCAAGTATAACAGGGATTGTGGGGCTGGCGCGGGATCGGGCATTGTTTCGTTCTGCTGTGTATGGGGTCGCTATGAGTCAGAAACGACTCGACGGCACTTAACAACAACAACAACAACCTTTGTTTTTGTTTTAACTTTTTTTATTGTGGTTTGGTGAAAATTTACAGAGCAAATTTATTTTCCTGTCAACAACTCATACACATTCTGTTTTGTGACATTCCCTGCAATCCCCACAATGCAACAGTACTCTTCCCACTTCCTCCCTGCACCCACTGCTTCCTCTCCTACCTTCCTAGCTCTCAAAAAAAAAAAAAAAAAAAAAACTCCCTGCCATTGATTCCATTCCAACTAATAGTGACCTCCATTGGGTTTCCAAGGTTGTAAATCTTTACCAAAGCAGACTGCCCATTCTTTCTTCCATGGAGTACTTGATAGGTTCAAAATACTGACCTTTTGCTTAGCAGCCAAATACGTTAACCACTACACCACCAGAGATCCTTTTCCTAGTACTATTCCTGGGAAAACACTGCCCTCTTTATCTTGTATGGTTGATTGCTCTAATGAGTGCGTCATCATCCTCGTCGTCGTCGTCGTCGTCCTCGTCGTTGTTGTTACCCTTCCAGTATCACTGTTCACCTTATAGGCCTGTCTATTATAGTTTGGCTGAAAGTTGAGCCACAGGGGTTGAGTTCAGTTCCCTTCCTGAAGGGTGTCTGAGGGCCATAAATAATCTCAGAGATTCCATCAGAAGAAGGCTGCATTTGAAAGCAGACATTTGGGACTGACTGGAGTCAATCATTTTACTAGCATTCATTCATTTTACTATCATTTCTGGTCTGAAATGGCACAATTCCTTCTGGCATTGCATTTATACTAAAGTGGGAAAGAGGTTTTAAAAGAAAGCAAATCTGTTGGTTGCCAGGGGTGGGAGGGAAGGGGAAGGAACATTGCAAAAAAAAAAAAAAAAAATGCATTGACCCATGTCACTTTAGTTTTGTGTATTTCACTATACATAAATTATATTTCAATGAAATTCATTAAAAAAAAAGAAGAAAGCAAATAAATATGTTACTATACTTTGTGATAAGTCCAATAATGGGTGTACTGAGAGAAAAATAGGAGATGATGGGTATACATTGATGGGATGATCAATGAAGGCCTATCTGAAAACATGACATTTAAACTCAGAACCAAAAAAAATTCCAGGCAGAAAGAAGTGCAAAAGCCTAAAGGCATGAAAAAGTCCAGTTTGTTAATTGCAGGACTTGTGTTAGATCTCAGCAAGGGAGAGGTTAGAAGAAAGCTAAATCAGATTGGTCAAACCTTAATAGGTTTGATTTTTACCAGAATAAATTTTGGTCTAAATGCAAAGGAAAGGATTTTAAGCAGGAGAATGACTAGATCTAATTTATTATTTAAAGGCCAGAAGGGAAAATAGAAAGACCAGTTGAATGATGTACTGATTAATTTTATGTGTCAGTTTGGCTAGGCTATGGTGACCGATTGCTGAAACAGTAGTGTGTTATGAAATAGTTACATGTGATTAAGTCAGTTGGACTTACATACAACAGATTACCCTCCATAACATGGGTGAGTCTCATCCAATCAGTTGAACGTCTTAAGAGCAAAAAAGTCATTTTCCCTAGGGAGTACTCTGCCTCCAGACTATAAATAGTTATATTGCCAGAATTCCACAATTCTCTTCTTTCTCTGTCACCTGACCTATGGATTTTTTTATACAAACTTCAGGAATTTCCTACAGATGTTGAACTTGCCAATGCCCCCACAATCACATGAGCTGGCTCCTTAACATAAGTATCTCTAGATAGATAGATAGATATACATATCTATATCTATATATATATATATATCTTATCTATCTCTCTGACTGGTTCTGTTTCTCTAGAGAATGCTTAGACTAAGTGGCTAAGTGGCTACTGCAATAGGCCAAGCAAGAAATGCTGGTGTTAGGACTATGATAGTGGCAGAACAGGAGAAAGGTGAACATTTGAGATATGTTTAGGAGGTAAAATAGAAAGAATTTGGCAATAGATTGGAAATTAGAGGGAGGCAGTGAGGGAAATCCAGGATGACTGCTAAGTGTCTGACATGAGCAGGTGGGCAGGTGGGGACCATGTTCCAGGCCCTGATCGAGGTGAAAGATGACTCACCAGACTCCCCAGCATCGCCCTTTGCCTTGGGCTGTACAAGTGGATGCACTACTTTAATTTGACCAGGTGGTGCAAAGGATGGATTTAGGTTCATTTTAACCATAACCTTCCCAGTATGTTTGTTGGCTATCCAAATTGCCTTCTCTTTCGAGGTTGAATAGAAGATACGATCACCAAAAAGAGATATTGCAAACAAACAGTGCCTAAAAAATAACAAAGGGTGGGGAGGAATACAGAGAATGGCAGGACATTTGTTCCTTGGCTTATTAAAATTTCACTTCAATTTTTGTTTGATTTTAATCACCAAAGTTTTCAATTGTTTTTCATTTAGAAATATATATTAAATTGTATTTATGTAGTTACAATCTGAACTAATAGAATATAATGTCTGACTCCAAATTCATTGTCTCAGTCCCTCTGCTAGTCATCATATTAATTGGAAGAAAGTAAAACAGGATGAGGAAGAGGATTTCTTGTTTAGTGAATTTCTCATTGACCAATACCCTCCCCCATGGCTACAAGCTAGAGAGTCAGTTACTGACAAGATAGCAAATAAAATCAAAGAGAGATGTTTTATAAAATATATAAGGCATAGTTATTCCAAAAATTATAACTACTCCCAACATATGCCTGATATCCTGCTAATTATTTTTATTTGCATTGATTCATTTAATTCCCACAATAATCCCAAGAAACAGGTACTATTTTTTTCCCACATGAAAGAAAACTAAGTATAAGAGATGTTACCCAAAGTCACTCATCTAATAAATGTTAAATCTGGGACTTAAACCACTATACCAGTTTGTTTGACAAAAGTTAAACTAATTTATCATGTAAGACTCAAATGACAATTGTTTATTTCACACCAAAAGCAAAACTTACTGTGAAAGATGTTTGATAAGATGAACAGAACCTCCATCATAATCACAGAAACCAATATGAGAATGTCTTCCTTTTTCACTGTGCTGAATCCAAAAGAGTAGTTTATTAAGGACATCCAGTGATACAGCTGTTATTTTCCCTGGTGTCTCCAGCAGAATTTTTGAGTCTGCACCATTGAGATCAGCTCTGTGAAGGCTACCACCCACCTCTGAAGACCAAAATATAAACCTGAGGACAAACATATTACATAGATACACAATTGAGTGGTTGGTCACTTAAATGGTTGCCTTTGTCAGTGTTTCGGCAGCCTCTATCTCTCTGCACAGGACCAGTTTGATTATTTTGAATGAAAATTCAATTCAATTCTTTATGATCCCTCATTTTGGGGGCAAGATCAAAGCTAAATGAATCAAGACAATCCCTGCCTTCACAGAGGTTCTCACTGACAGAGTTCGAGCAATAATTAAATACACAAAAATGAAAAAATATATAAGATTGATAGAGATTAGTGACAAAGGAAAGATACAATAATCAAATCTGGTGGGGAATCATGGCAACAGTAATCACACCCAGTTGGGAATCAGGAATGCCTTAAGGGTAACTTCAAATCTGATATACATTTTGAAGGATGTACAGGTTTTCACAGGTAGAGATAGAGGAGATGAATTTTCCAGGGGAGAATAGAGGTTTAAGAAACAATGCTAGACTGAAAAATATTGAATAGTTCATTCTAGTCATGACCAAAAGTAACTGAAGAAAAGCAGTACAAATTATAAATGAAAGAAAGTGTGGTATCTTGTGCACAGAGCCTAGGATGCCTAGATAAGAAGTTGGCAAAAGTTACTGAGGAGTATGACTTTATCAGAACTGTGTGTCTGAAAATTAATGTAGCAAGAAGCAACCTTAAATAGGCAACCTGAAGTGGCACAAATAGTTACGTGCTTGACTACTAACCAAACGGTTGGTGGTTGAAACTCAACCAGAGGCAACTCTGAAGAAAGGCCTAGTGGTCAACTTCTGAATAGCCACAGTTTTGAAAACGTTACATGGTAGGTGTACTCTGCACACATGGGCCTGCCATGAGTTGGAATCAACTCAACATCAGTGAGTTTGCTTTTTTTGTTGTTGTTGTTGTTGTCGTTTATGACGGACTAAAGTGGAGAGAGAGAAGACGGAAAATAAGTCATACTAAAAAAGGAAAGGAGCTTTTGATACATGGTCCATTGGTGCAAAAGTCAAGGAGAGGTGGAGAGCCAAGCAACAGAACTCATTCCTTGTAATTTCAAGTTGGTTGTTATTATATGTTGCCAAGTAGTTTCTGAATCATAGGATCCTATAGGACAGAGTAGAACTGCTCCATAGCATTTCCTAAGCTATAATATTTATGGGAATTAGCTCTGGTGGTGTAGTGGGTAAGGCATTTGGCTGCTAACCAGAAGGTCAGCAGTTCAAATCACTAGCTGCTTCATGGGAGAAAGATCAGGCAATCTACTTCTGGAAAGATTTACAGCTTTGGAAACCCAATGGGGGTCTCTATGAGTCGGAATTAACTTGATGGCAAAAAAACAAAACAAAACACCAAACTTACTGCTGTTGAGTCAATTCAACTCATAGGGACCCCTCCTTGGGTTTCTGAGGTGGCATCTCTACAGAAGTAGATTGCCCAATCTTCCCTCCGAGGAGTAGCTGGTGGGTTTGAACCTCCAGCCTTCTGGTTAGCAGTCAAATGTCTTAGGCACTATGCCACCAGAGTTCCCAACTTGATGGCAGTGGGTAATATTTATGGGAGCAGGCCACCAGGTCTTTTCTCCCACTGAACACCTGGTAGCTTCAGACCACTGACATTTCTATTTTGGTTAGCAGCTGAGCACTTAACCATTGCATCACCAGGGCTCCTGATTTCAAATTAGACAGAGAATTATGCTTCTATAGCAGGAAACCATGGTGGTTAGAAGTAGCCTGCTTTCATTCAGATCCAGGTTAACTGTTCTGTTGAAAATAATGATATTTGTCTGTAAAAGAGGGCCTTGACGTCAATGAGCAGAAAGATCCCTTTGAGCGCAAAATGTTATCATCTATGACACTTCATCAGATTTTGCAATATATTTCAATGTTTGAAAACAGCAGAATTTACCTTTCTACTGGATCAACTGCTACATTTTCAGGATTATTTAAGCCATTTAAGAGAACCTGGGGATTGTTTCCTTTCATATCAGTTACTGTAATGACTCCTTCTTGTTGGTTTGACCAAATAATTTCTTCATTTATCCAATTTATTGCCATTCCTGAAACACTTTTCTCTATATTGCTCAATCTCTGTAAAATCAAATTTCAAAATGAAGTTATTAATATTTTCCCATTCACGTCAAAATTGTTTTATTCTTATGTATAAAAATCCTATTCTTTTTAACTATTTGTCATTTTTATATATTCCCAAAATTATCTAAATGATACAATAGTCACAGATAATGGTACTAATTGTTTTAAGTCAAAAATATGTTATCACTCCCAAATGAATGTTTCCAGGCATAGTATTTATATCATATTTTTGAAATTGAAGATTATCCTATACATTGAAATTAGGTGATCACTATAACATATTAATAATTTTAACTATAGTAACAGCAGAATTTAGATTAAAAAGACAGTTTATTCCACTCCATTATCTAATGAAATTATTTCCAGATTCTTACAGAACCCAGTGTTAAGCTTTGCCAAATTCTGGCAATATTTCCTTGGAGTTTGTGCACAGAGCTATGAAGCAGGTGAATTTCTTTCTTCTTCTGGTCCCTCCTCCTCTATCATGCCCTGTCCCTTCTACAGACCCTCAGTGCCATCAAACTATATTGGAATAACAGGGCTTCTCTTTATGCCCTTTGAGCAGTGTTTCCCTTCTCCCTTATGATAAAAACAACCTGTTATCTCCTAATTCTAGCTGCGGGTGAGTAAACTGATGTTCCCACAGTGCTCCACTGGTTCAAACCAGTTCAGTCACAGCCAAAGCAGCAAAATCAGAATACACATAAATTTGTAAAATGTGAATGTACTGGAAGGATAACCAGAATAGGAAAAATTTGGGGTCAAAGCCCTGCAATGGGAGACTCAGAAAAAGGCAAAGGAGCCCTTTCAGGAGCCTGATGCAGGAGATTGGATTATTATTGCCAGGACTGTGAAGAATGACACACAATCTAAGTGACATGGTTGGCCACCATCTTTGAGCAAGGCATTGTTATTTCTGACTCTGCTGGTCAAGAGATTGGGTTGCTATACAATACACACACTGCCCTTGTTTTCTAAGAGGGAGATTAAATTTCTAGCAGGGCACTGACCCATAATTTTTCCCATTCTGGTTATCTTTCCAGTACACTCACATTTTACGAATTCAGGTCTGTTCTGGTTTCACTTCATAGGCCATGACTGAACTGGGAAGAGCTTGTTCAAAGCTCTGCTTTCCTGGGAATATGGGGGGTGGAAAAGTCCTGACTTGTAGGGTTGCAGATTTGCAATGGTGTAAATAGTCCTATGGTTGCTGATTTCAAGTGACCTATGTGACATCACTAGGAGCTCTGGTAGCATAGTGCCTAAGGCACTTGACTGCTAACCAGAAGGCTGGTGGTTCAAACCCACCAGCCACTCCTTGGAAGGAAGATTGGGCAATCTACTTCCGTAGTGATACTGCCTCGGAAACCCAAGGAGGGGTCTCTATGAGTCAGGTCCGCCTCGATGGCAAACAACAACAACAACAACATGTAACATCACTAAGAAGCCCTGATGGTGCAGTAGTTAAGCATTTGACTGCTAACCAAAAGGATGGAGGTTTAAACCCACCTGCTGCCCCATGGGAGAAAGATGTGGCAGTTTGCTTCCGTAAGGATTTACAGGGTTGCAAACTCTGTGGAGCAGTTTTACTCTGTCATACTGAGTTACTATGAGTCAGTATTCCACTGCACAGTAATTGGTTTGGTGTTTTGGCATGTGACATCACTTAGGACCCCTGGTGGTACAGTGACTAAGCACTCAGGTGCTAACCAGTAGGTTAGCAGTTCAAAACCACCAACTGCTCCAGTCCACTTCTACAAGATTATAGCCTGTTCTACTCTGTCCTGTGGGGTTGCTATGAGTCAGAATCTACTAAACAGCAAAGAATTTTTTTGTGAGACGTCACTAGTTCTGGAGTTGGGTAGAAGTCAGGCAATTGATTCTCATGGTACTGCAAGCTGGTGGTAGCACACCACTGTCTGCACTATTATTAAGTCTCATATAAATTAATCTAGCCAAACCATTTTACCAACTGTTAATTTACCAAGGTAAATGTTGTTATGAGTTGCCTGGAGTTGATTCCAACTCTTGGCCATCCCACCGCTCACCCAAGTAAATGATTTGCATTTTAATAATTGCTCTTTATAAAAAATACATTAGTCCAAAGGATAGAGTATAATGGTGCACTTCTAGGCATTATGCCTATATATCCTCACCTAATAATGTAATATAAATTCACAACTACTTGACTTTTTTCCTGTTCAATGACAGAAAATCCTCCAGATTCTTAGACTCCAGGTTTTGAAACTATTTTACAGATGGCTGGAGGATAATGAGTAGCCATCCTTGTTAGTGAGATTAGCAAGTATTAGAGATGTGATAAAACAGATTAGCACCAAATTGAAGCTTTTAAGCATAACTGGAAGGAGAAAGCTTTGGTTGGGGGGAAAAAAAAAAAAAAAAAACAGTGGGCACTTTGTTGGAAAGAAATGCTTCAGGTTCTCCAATCACATGATCTCTGTAATCTATCTCTCAAGAATTGAGAGCACATTCCTCTGGGGACTCATTTAATGGTTCTACCAGTTAAAAGGGAGCTCTGATGGCTTAGTACCTAAGGCATTTGACCGCTAAGCAGCAGGCTGGTGCTTCAAACCCACCAGCCACTCCTCGGAAGGAAGATTGGGCATTCTACTTCCATAGTGATACGCCTCAGAAACCCAAGGAGGGGTCACTATGAACTATGAGTCAAATCAACTCCACGGCACTGAGTTTACTAGTTAAAGAGAAAGATGAAAGATCTTTTTTACTTGCTTTAAGTAAAACGCTTTATATCTGTCATCTGCCTTACAACCCCCCTCTAGTGCAAGCACCTTGACAATTAAAAGAAAAAAAGAGTTCCTTTCTAAACCTCAGGTGCCAAAACCTGACAGTGATTTTATACACTTAACAGAAAGTTTCTCGAGCTCAACACTGTTGACAATTTGAGCCAAATAAGTCTTTGTTGTGGGGCTGTCCTATGCATTACAGGATGGTTAGTTAGCAGCTAATCTGGCCAGTTGTGACAACCAAATATGCTTTCAAATGTTGCCAAATATCCCCTAGGGGGTAAAATTACTCCCAATTGAAAAACATGGGGTAGAAAATAATTATGCAAATAACCTGTTTAAAGCATAATCAGTAATCTGGCTTCACAAATACAGATATTGTCAAAATCAATTTCACATCCTCACTTTTCACCTTTTAAGAGCTACTGAATTGTAGTGCCATATTCATAAGCTTGTTCAATAACATAATAGTAGAGATGTGGATTAAATACGTATCTACATATGCCAAACACACATTTGGATTGTAATGTAATTTTCATTTATCTCTACATCAAGAATTCACAATATCAAATTTCTCAGCCTTTA